ATAGAGCAATTAAGTTGATGTGTCATACTTTTTTTTTTCATAAAGAGCATTATTCAACTCTTATTTATTACCACAAAAAAGAATTACAAAAGATAGGGCAAGAAGCCAATCCTACACCTTATAAAATTCACAAAAAAATAAAAAATAAAACAGGTTTTTATCCAAAAAAAAAGAAAAAAATACAACTCACACCACACAAACACAACACAAAAGCCAACAAGCCTAAAGAAGATCTTTAAAGGCTAAAGTCAAAAGCTCATTCTAAAAATGGAAAAAAAACTTTAGCAGAAGGCACCTTCAAACTGAATTTTGCAGCCCAATGAGCCACAGAATTTCCCTCTCTACGAACATGAGACCAAATCACATTCAAATTATTATATAAAGCTTTAATCCTTTTCATCTGCTACATGACACTCCAATGGGACTCCAAAAAAAATCTGCAACACTTCTAAAGAGTCAGAGAATCAACCTCAAAAATTATATCTTTCAAACCCAATTTCTTGCTAGTTGATGTGTCATACTTTAAAATTAGGGGAGAGGGTAATTAAATATAAGTTAAGATGTGATACAATGATTTCTAATAGTCACTTTGGATTTATGTTGGGTGTATCTACTATGGAAGCTATATATTTACTTAGAGGTATGATAGAGAAGTATAGAGAAGTATAGAGAGAATAAGAAGGATCTACATATGATGTTTATTGATTTAGAAGAAGTTGTTGATATGACTTATATTCACGTCATTAAAGATATGTATACTAGTGTTATTACTTGTGTTTGAATAGAAGACGGAGGATTGATAAAGTATTTTCTTATTTCAGTTGGATTACATCAATGATCGATTTTAAGCTCATATATTTTTTCTTTAGTTATGGATGCACTTATTGAACATTTACAGAGGGATTTATCTTGGTATATGCTTTTCATTGATAATATCCTTCTTGTGGATAAGACTAGAGATAATGTTCAGAAAAAAACTTGAATTATGGAGATTTACATTAGAGTCTAAAGGCCTTTCATCTGAGTAGAGCTAAAACTGAATACATAGAATGTAATTTTAGTAGTATTAGCTCAAGTGGCAGATTTGTAACTACAGACGATCAAATCATTAAAAGGTGTGAACGTTTTAGATATCTTGGTTTTGTTATTTAGAGTGAAGGTGATGTAGATGAGAATGTTAATAGTAGAATTCAAGTTGGTTCATTGAAGTGGAGAAATGCTTTGGGCCTATTGTGTGATGGTAAAGTATTGCCTAAAATGAAAGAAAAATTTTATAAGATGTGATGTGGCCTGCAATACTTTATGACGCAAAATGTTGGCCTTTAAAAGAGAAGCATAAAACAAAGTTAAGTGTTGCTGAGATAAAAATGCTTGGGCTGGTGAGTAGCTTGACTCTTAGAGACAAAATTAAAAATGAATATCAATGATAGGGTTGGTGTAGCTCCACTGGCAAATAAGATTAAAGAGATTTGTCTAGAATGGTTTGGTCACATTAAACGCCAATCATCTGATGATTTGATTAGGAGAGTAGATGTTTTAGCTTTGACTGATGTAAGGAAAGGTGAAGGTAGACCTAAAAAGACTTGGGCACATTGTATAAAAAATGATCTTAATCTATTAAAATTAAATAAAAATATGACACACAATAGGACACAACAGAGAAAAAAGGATTGATGCAGTCGACCCCACTTAGTGGGATAAAAGCTTGTTGCTATGGTTGTATATACTCTATCGATTATTTAAGATTTAATTTTATCAAATAATAGTTTAATTAAGATTTAATTAAATTTATTTTATATCCAAATTTCATTAAACAATTTGAGCATAATTATTTGACTTTGGATTAGTTTATTTCATGTTAAAATTTTCTTAAACATAATGGAACTCCTCATGTACTGGGTCGATTTTGCTGCCCATCATCTTAGGCCCCGTTTAGGGCAGCTTATAGGTGCGGCGGCATTTTGAAAATGTCGCCTATGTGTTTGTTTCTCGCGGCTCCACCGCATATTGAAAACCGTGTTTTTAAATTTAGACCGCGATCCACGTTTTCCATCCTAGGTTTTACTGTGGTGCCCCTCGAAACAGTCCCCTTTCGGCGCTCATCTCCTCTTTCGTTCTTTCGGCGCTCCTCTCCTTCTCCTTGGCCGAAGTCGCTCCGCAGGTAACTCCGTTGGTAAGGTTTTCTCCTCCCTCCGCTCCTCCCTCCGCTCTTCTCGTCCTAGTCCTCTTTTATTTCTCCTGGAAGTTCCTTCTGTGGAAGCTATTGGTGAATATGGAGATTTTTAGTAGATCCACTTTAGGGTTGATGAATATTTATTGTGGAAATATAGATCCAGTAGTTTTCGGTGAATGTGGAGTTGAATATGGAGTTGAATGTGGGAGAAATGTAGATATGTGATTTTAACTTATTTTTTAATATATTATATGCTTGATCTAGATTTCGGTGAATGTGGGGGATTTCCTTTTATTATTATGGCTATGACACATTTAAAACATCATCAATCTTTCTTATGAGGGGTACCGATTTTGCAGTTTACTGATTCTTTTGAGCTTTTGGAAGTAACCTCTATGAACCTTCATGAGTTCAATTTTTATGATAACTCATTCAGTAGCATATATGTGTCTCATTTCCTAATCACATTTGATGTGCTAAAGGATACGATTTCTGGTTTTATTCCGATAGATTTGGTGAATTGCAAGCATTTGGAATTTTTTTGCGAGGTGTCGATCAGTGGAAGAATTGATTGAAAAATTATAACTCATTGATTTGGGTCTCCTCAAGCTCAAACCTCATAGCTCGTTGTTTTGTTCCCTTGGGCAATATGAAACCTTCCATTTACAAATCTGCACCCAAACTTTCACGTGAATATTCATGATATTTTGATTTGATACTCTCATGCATAAGAATTAGACAATAATGATATATTTGTTTAAAGATTCAAGGACTTTGCATAGAACCATTGATTACTTTTTTTAATAGGTGTTTGATGTGTAAATTCATAATAAATGTGTGGTTTATATGCAAATGCTTATAAGAATTTCTCTTATGCATGGCGGGGGTTGACGGGTTTATTAGCAATTGAAGGATTACTTTTTTTGGGTGTGTTATTACTGTGAAGGAAATTTTCATGCATGCCATGAAATTCTTATACATTACATATGTAACACCTAAACTTTCATTTGTTCATGCATGCTAGCCCCTATATGATGAAGTTGTTGTTAAATCTATAAATGCGTAGGAACTTAAATGCTGAGTATGTAAATCCTCTTTTTCTCTTAGATATGAACATTTGCACTTGAGAACGGGGAATCATAAAGGTATAGAATTATTGTGGATATATGACACCAATGTGTTATAAGAATTGATATCAACTTTTGTGTGGTTCAATCAGGCCTTTGGTCTTAAAATTCTTTTCTCATTCTTATGTGCTCCTGAAATGTCACTATTTAGGAGCTTTGAGTTGATTCATGTCCTACTTCGTTTTGGAGTATTGTTTATTGTGAGGGAGGATTATCAAACTTCAGTACATGTAATACAGAAGTATGAATTGTAGTTTATATGTTCAAATGACTCATTTCAAATGAATCATTGTAGAATAATTATTATGCTTTCCTTCAAAAAAAAAATGTTGTTGTACATACAATTTTTCTCTTGAGCACCATTATATTCATGTTAGCTTGTTTATCTTACAATCAAAATAAGTAAATCTAAAGAATCTGGAACATCGGTGATGTGGGATAAAGAGACCACATTGACATTTTGTGATCTTTATCTAAGGGAAGTTGAGTTCGGTAATAGGCCGACCACTTTTTTCAATAAAGAAGGTTGACAGAATATAATCGTTAAATTCAAGGAACTCACCGGGAGGGATTACGATCGGATGAAACTTAAAAATAAATGGGATCAATTAAAAAAAGATTGGAAAATTTGAAAAGAGCTCAAGAGAGGATCAACAGGATTGGGTTGGGATCCACTTAAGCGGACAATAGATGCACCTGAAGAATGGTGGGCTCAAAAGTTAGAGGTAAATACATAACTATATTTGTTTTTGGATTGATTGCGTCTTTCTAAAGATTTTAACTAATGATTTATATTTTCTATTCCAGGTAGTGCCAGCAGCCAAAAAGTTCAAACTTAGCGGCATTGATCCAGTATTAGAGGAAAAGTTGGATGGCATGTTCATAGGTGTTGTCGCCACCGGAACTCCTGCTTTCAGCTCAACTGACCAGAACTTTGCTAGTTTAGGCCGTGATCCGAGCACAAAGCTAACTTTGGAGAAGGTCCTAGCCAAATCCATATAGAAGTTCAATCAACCGGTGGGACAAAAGCAGATAAGAAGAAAATTGGAGCCGCAACTGTCAGAGGTTCCATAGAGACGATTCTTGAATACTGCAAACCGAAGATTGTACCACCACCAACACCAACAACAAACAACTACTCAATTCAGGAGTACCTTAAATTCCTGAATACATATCTCAGTGTTAAGGAAGATGAACCCATGTATTTAAAATATGTGAAGTTGATAGGGAATTACACTCGTAGGTAGTTCTTCGCAAATTTGGACTCAGAATTCCGTCTTTCTTACCTGCGCTCTTTTATGAATGATTGATTATGGTTGATAGTTGTTTTTATTTTAGAACCAGTAATTGTAATAATTATGTGATGGACTATTTGCTTTTATGTCTTCTTTTAACTTTATGTCATTGTTTGTGTCGTTGCAATTTATGTCTTCGTTTAACTCTCACACTGTAGTATCTTTTCCTAATACTTCAAGTTAACGTTATACATTTTTAAAAATATATCATTTACCACATTTTGTAGAATGGATGAAGAACAACTTAACAACAACCGCAAAGTCACTCTCGCCCTCATCTTCCTACACTACTACTATCATACATACATTGATCAAACCCCTTCTATGACATCAAGTCAGATTGAGGATAAATGAGTCCGGGAGTTATTACATGGACACCCGACAAGATTTGCAAACATATTGCGTATGACCAAGGTGATATTTCTCAACCTGCTTAATGAGCTTTGGGACCTTCATCGATTACACGGGTCATCAAGAACAACTGTCAGAGAGGTGTTGGCAATTACCATGTATATCTTATCCCAAAATGAATCTATTAGAGGAGCTATGGAGCGGTTCCAACATTCCTCGGAAACCATTAGTAGATATTTTTCTATGGGTTTAAATGCGCTGGTGAGTCTGGCATACAAGTTAATAAAGCCCAAGGATCCAATTTTTCAGACCATTCCCACACAAATTACAAATGATCCTCGATACATGCCCTTCTTCAAGGTAAGTGCCCAACATAATATTCATTTTAAAGAAAAAACACATATTGATTTTGAATGGTTTATGGGTATTTTATGCACCACAGGACTGTATTGGAGCTATTGACGGAACGCACGTCGATGCACTCTTTTCTCCTACAGAGAAAGTCGCTTACATCGGACGGTGTGGATCCCCAACACAAAATCTCATGGTCGTGTGTGATTTCAATATGTATTTTACTTTCGTGATGGTTGGATGGGAAGGTAGCGCACGCGATAGCCGTGTTTTCAAGTTTGCTACTAGGAACCGAGAATATGGGTTCCCTTACCCTTCTCTTGGTACGTATATTTGGGATATTAATTTTGTGTTCTACTTCCATTTATAACTAACATCACGCGACAGGTAAGTATTACTTGGTCGACGCCGGATATCCCTTACAAAGGGGGTTTCTTAAGCCGTATCCAGATACAAAGTATCACATCCCAGATTTTGAAAGGTCTAGCGGTGTAGCATGCGGGAAAGAAGAATTATTCAATAAAAGACATTCATCACTGCGAGGCGTAATTGAACGATTGTTCAGAGTGTGGAAGAAGAAATGGGTAATATTGCGTGATATGCCCACTTATCCGTTTCTGAAACAGGTCTAGATTGTAGTGGCTACCATGACATTGCCAACTTTATTAGCCGGCATCCTTCAAGAAATGATGCAAAATTTGTTGTGGTTGATGCAGATTTAATACAAATTCTTCCATAAGGATTCAAGTATCATATTGGCCGCACCATACCATAACTTGAAATTGATTCACCTGAGACAAACACCAGAGATGGTGAAGGGGCATCTGAAATGGCAGCTTTGAGAGATGGAATGACAGACGAGATTAGCAAAAACATTAATTAATGTATTCTAAAGCTTGGCAAAATAATTATGAATGATTTATTATGTGATATGTTATTATATGGCTGCTATGTCATTTATTTGAGTCATATGTATGCACTATTTTGGTAATGAAAGTTGGAATCATAATCCTTTTGTAAAATGTTGTATGGAGCACGGTTAATAATTGGTTGCTTGATATCCTGGGAATTTTTTATTTTGTGTATTTTCCATGGCTGCTTGATATTCCTCTGAGAGTTATATGGATCTTGTGTTGGGTACTGTATGGAGATACTTGGGTTACATATATCAGATCTGTTTTAAGGTTAGCTTTGTTTCGACAAAATTTCTAGCAACTTGGATGGCCCAATTATTTAATGGCAACCGCAGCTATAAGAAATTTGGGTGGCATAAATTTTAAAAAAAGGTTGAGCAGTTAGATATGTAAATAGATAGGAATTGGGTGGTATGCATGTAAATGCCTCTATACCTGGCATATGATATGTCTGTTGTCAAAAACCTACCCTGCTAACTCCATTTTCCTTAGGATTTTCATCAAGGAAGCATTGCTATGAATTGTTTGTTACCTTAATGATAAAGGGATACAAGTTTATAAATTTTATTTAGATAAAAACAGGGAAAAAAGATGGAGGATCCTTATCTACATATAAAAATTTATCATTTTTAAATTTGATTGTTAACAATCTAAATACAGATTTGAGTATTAATGTAGAGATCAATGCAGTCATGTTTCTACAAATGCAACTTTGGGTATTAATGTACAAATCAATGCAAGTTTGGAATATATAAAGATATACAAACTGATGATATTAATGTAAATTACATTTTATTATCTCTTGAGTCTTGACAATACACTAAACATATTTTATTGAGATAACGATGGAGCAGTTTGGACAGCCACAAAAATTTGTTGTTGACAACCGCTGCCTCCACACTTCGGTAAATATACTATTTATATTTCCTCAAATTTTTTACTGATATATTCTATTTTTAATAACTACAGGATGATGAATTCCAGACATTCATGGAAGTCCGAGAAAGTGATATGTCATTGCGGACTACCGTCCTTGCTACTCATGTCACGCCAGACACGACCGGAAGACTGCAAATTCTTCAGGTGGGCTGACAGTGCAACTGTTTCTACGATATCCCAACTGGACACAGCTGCTAGAAGTTCGATAGTACCACAACGGGATAACATTGCATATGGTTCGAGTTCTTCCGTTTCTATGACATCCCAATCGGACAGGTTTGCTCTGGATTTTGAGGTATCAAAACCGGGCAACATTCATCGTGATGTGCTTTTACATTTTCAAGTCAATATTGTCATATTTTTTCTTGTAATTTTAACATGTTATTTTTTCTTTTTTTAGGGTCATATTATAATCCATATTCGTATGTGAATGTGTACTTTACTTTCGTATGTGTCACTGTGCTTATTTGATGTAATCAAAACTTTTTCAGTTATATAAATGTTATTCAACTCTTTTGTATTTTCATATTGTGACATTTGAGAAAATAATAAATTATGCTACACAGATTATTAATTTAACTAAAAAAATTTGCAAATAAACTGTTTACAAAAAACACAAACCAAACAGTTAAACAGCTTATTCAGAACAAGGGCAAATTGACCATTTTTCTAGATTAAGTTGTTTTCTACACGCACAAACCAAACAACCAAACAGCTTATCCGGATTAGCTGCTCATCAGCAGATTATCAGAATCAGCTGCTTATCAGCAGAAGCTGAATAAGCTGCAGCTGCCCCAAACAGATCCTTAGTCAATCATTATTTAGTCGCCATCACTTATTGCTCGTCCTCATCTACCTTGACTTTGACCGGACCTTCCTCCTGGCTTTCTAGCGGTCACCTCCTTTTCTTGTTGGATTTTCGCAACAACTGGGCCGGCCCATAATTCCATTGTCATTCAATCAGACACTCCTAGATATAGGACTCGATTTAAGATTGTTGGATATGTGGACAGAGCAGCCAACCTTCAATATCACTCCTTTTGACCCGGTAGTAGTTGGTGCCCTTTTTCTTATAGAAAATATCACTAGACGAAACTGTCCTAAAACCCCAACCCTCGAAAAACAAGGCAATGAAGAATTTGTGCTTCTAGCCCTTCACCTTAATTTCCAAGCCGACAAACTAGAACCGATCGGTTGTCCCAAATTGGACATAGTCGTACGATTCGACATGAAATGAGAATATATGAACAAATAGATCAGTGGACCATGAAATGCCCTTTCATCGATAGAAGATGATGTAGGTCATGATTGCCACCACTTAGTTCGGCTTGATATGTGCGAGGAAAACATCGTAATTGTTAAGAATCACCTGGAGCTCGTGGCATAAGGGTAGGCAGAACCCATACTAAACTGGTCTCAATACATCACCATGTCATTCATGTATCTCCTAGTCACCCTTTTATTCAAAGAGGCGGCCCTCAACTTGAAGTTTGAGTGAAAAATAAATTTTTTTTCAATAAAGCAGATGTTTGACGATGCCAGAATAGAACGTTCAACCGAGACTAAAAATTTTAGGAGTCCTTTTTGGAGCCATATGAAAACCAAAGAAATGAAGAATGAAGAACTAAAGACAGAAGACGACTCAAGGAAATAGAAAGGGAAGGACATGATGCACACTTATGGCCCCCTCAACCCTTATTTATAAGAATTCAATGGAACCCAATCACCACTTTTAGAAATCGAGAAAATATATTTTCAACATAGAATTTGAGATTTGAAAAATAAAAGAAACATTTTGATTATTACAAAATACATAATTACATATAAAATTAGTTCGACAAGAGACAATTCACAAACCGGTCTTGGTCACGTCGACAAGGACTAAACCCCTACTGACTAACCTCCCATACAACGTCTAACCACTAAGCTTAAATTGATGCACTCACTCAGCCTCAGAGTTGATCCTTTGGATGAATGCATCCTTCCAGAGTTCAACAATCTCTCAGCGAAGACCGATTATTTCCCCGCGCATCTCCTCTAGCTTCGCTTGCGAGTATCAGTCCTGCTGGGCCAGAATCTCCTCTAATTCTTCTAGACGGCTTGTTAAATTCCTGACAGACGCATAAAATCTCTCAAAAGTTTCTTCTCAGGCCTTGTCAAGTTTGGTTGAGTGATTGACCACATCCTATTTGTTGTCGGTCAGTACCTGGGGAGTTGGGTTTGTTCTCAGGATAATGTCTCTATCATAAACGTTGTATAATTGTTTTCTGACGTGATAATCCTCATCTACGAGAAGAAAGGTAGCCAGTAAACACTAGGCAACTCAAAAAAAGAAAAGAAAATAATTTATCTAGGATCCAATTCACTTCGGACTAGCTTGTTCTAACCACATCACAAGATGAAAAATCATCTGTCGATCCCTTCTCACCAGCTAAGAGATCATCTCTGTCGATTCGTTAAGTATCTACCATGAGGGAAACGTTCGCAACATCCAGTTGAATTTGCACCTTAGAGGAAGCTTTTGTCGACTGGTCGGTTAATGAAGCACCCTGCTCTCCTCCAGCCTTGGTCAAAATTTTCGTTGGAATTCCGCGAATCGAATCCTCCACCCCTAGTCCTTCGATTGGTTTCGGCCTCTTCGCCAATTTCTCCATGGAGGAAAAGCGAACGATGAGCAAAATCCAATGAACGAAATATACGCGAGATGATAAAGTTGCTTCTCTTGTGTACTATATATAAGGATCATGAGCACGAAAATCTAGGGAATTTATTTATAGCATTAAACAAAGATTATTATTAAATTTATTTTATTTCATTTAAAATTTTCCATATCCCTGACGAAGGACCTACTTGGCCGATCGAAAGTGAACAAACATGTGTGACAGAAAATGTAAAGGCCTTGACTCCTCAACCAAATAGTCAGAGCCCGATCTTCTAGTAGACCATCAGCAAAAGGTCAGCCGACCATTTATGGCTTGTTGTTGTCTCTCAGTAACAGATTGACCATCTTAAATCAACCACCCAAGACTAATCGGCCGACCATCTTAGGTCAATCAACCACAACATTCAAATTCAAGCATCTTTCAAACACAAATATATCCCAAAATTTAGACGAAATGACCTACCGACGACATCTCATGCTGTCGAAGAAGGAATCACAAGGCGGAGAATCCAGAGGCGTGAAAAGAAGCTAAATGTGGTTACAAAATATGAAAAGGCTATAATATCAAGTAACCACCTTATTAAAGGAGAGACATATATGTAATTTCTATCTTATTAGTAATTTATCTTCTATAAACAAAGGATCCAATAATTATAACAAGGCTTTTTGACTCTCAAATCTTGACCGATCCTTTAGAGAGAGTCATCCATCTGCCCCATCTCTCTATTATACTTTTTAACATATAAAATGGGTTATAGATCTTGGGGTTAACCCAATTTGCCCAAAACGGGGTAAGCTTATGTGTGCTATCTCTCTCTTTATCGCTCTATCTCTACCTCTCCGATCCGTGGGCATTCCCTCACACGACATATTTGAATTCAACAACTTTTATCATCCATCAATTTTGAGTGCGTGCAAAATGAAAACTCAAATTAAAAATAAATATCATTTTAAACTATAAGCATCATGTCATTCAAAAATATAATACCTTATAATCATAATTACACTCAGCCAACATGAAATTACTCATTTCGAAAAGTCAAAGAAAGATTACAATGCCTCAAACAACGGAGCAACAATATCATCAACATAAAATACTAGAACATCTAAGTCGTGAGCAGATTCATGCAAATGAACTAAGTCGAAATGGAAGTTGAAACACGAGGGTATGCGACATTAACCGGGTGAGCCATGATGCGTCGGCCCTTCATATGCCGGAAAATATAAACAACCGCACCGACCGGCCACCCCACCACCCCCCCCCACGCGTCATTTGCAACAAAACTTAAATTTCGTATTGTATCGTTACTTCTTCAAAGACACTCATTTAAAGGTGTCGTGTGGGACGCGTGGATTTTAACGGCGAAGAGAAAGCTGGCGTGTTCGGGAAAATACGTTTCCTGTTTTATTTAAAGCCCGCCGGGAATCTTTTTGGCTTGCGTAAATTCGATCGGTGCACGTGTACTCATACCACGTATTGGGGTAAGGATTGCATATCCTTCAATATTTCCGATTTCGTAATAGTTCTTCTAGAAATTGTTGGATCGATTCTCTTGTTCCAAGAATGTTAAACTAATGCGATGCTTGTTTATATGAAGCATATTAATATTAAATTATTTTAATACTCATTAATTTTGAAGAAAACTGTAGTTGGTTTTAAAATAAAAAATAAAATCTTATTTTAACAATTAAAATTATAACAAATTGACTTGTCACAAATATGCTACTGTCCATATATATATAAATATATATATGGTAAAAGAATACTAAGAATCACGTAGTTTAAAATAAATAATTAATAAGAGACTTAGTTTAATAATTAAGAAATAAAAGCTGAAAAATAAAGATAATAGATCTTAACAGAAAAGTACATGTAAATGAGAGATTAATCTTAATCTTTCCCTCTTCCCGAGAAGTATTATTTTTAGGAAAATACAAAATGTTGTAGAGAAATGTGATTGTATGTGAAAAATATTTCAGCATGGATCTCGGGATAGTTGAACAGCTCAGATGGAAGATACGAACGATTGAACGAGGCTTTTGACGATCGTTTGGGTTGAATATTGGCGGAGAAGATGTCTGGTTCTAGCGATCGGAGGAACGCACCAGAGAATTTCTCGCAGAGCGACGATCGACCCTTAGGATGATCGACAAGAAACGTCCCTTTTGGGACCGACTGCTGGAGGAGTCCAGGCACGACTAACGACTGACAAGCTTCCTATTGACCGATTCAGTCCTTCGGCCTTATTACATGTGGATATTTTTGTAATTACCAAAACCCTCTAAAAGGCTAATGATGATGAGACCGATATGTAATTTTGTAGAACCTGGACTTGTTCCTATAAATAGGGGGTAATTTCAAAAATAAAGGGGATGCATTTCTTCTTGTTCTCCACTGCTCCTTCTCTCTCTCTCTCTCTCTCTCTCTCTCTTTCTAATGTTCTATACCTTGAGCGTGAAAGCATGTTGCTAATAAGAAGAG